TAAAAGTTTGCAAATCCCAAAAATACTTGCACATCATGGAGATTCATTGGTGTGGACCATTCTAAAACATCAATAACTTTCTTCGGATCCATTCGATTACCATTCGGAGTGAGGATCAGGCCCAGGTATTTTGTTTCTTGAACCATGAATTCGCATTTTTCGGGTTTGAGATGAACATGATTTTCATCAAGTACTTTTAGAACTTTTCGAATATGATCCTTATGTTCTATAAGAGACTCGGAATAGATAAGGATATCATCCAAATAAGCTGTCACGAATTGATCCAAATAGGGACGTAGGATATCATTGATCCAATGTTGGAACGTAGCAGGAGCATTCGCTAATCCAAAGAGCATCACCGTATATTCAAAATGTCCGTACCGAGTCCGGAATGCCGTTTTCCATTCGTCTCCTTCCGCTATTCTGATTTGATTGTACCCCCAACGTAAATCTAACTTGGTGTAGTATTTTGCTCTTGACAATTTGGCCAAAGTTTCCTTCAATGACGGTAATGGATAACGATTCTTAATCGTAATTGCATTGAGGCCCCGATAGTCGACACATAAACGAAGAGTTCCATCGGCTTTCTTGACGAATAGGATAGGTGCCCCCGCTGGTGATTCACTATGACGGATAATCCCCTTAGGTAGGTTCTCTTGAAGATAGTCCCAAAGTGCCTTCAACTCCGTTTGGGATAAAGCATATATTGGTCCCCATGGTGGTTGTTTGCCTTCTTCTAATACTATCTTCATATCATGTAACGGTCGATGTGGTGGAAGCGCTGAAGCATCATATTCTTCAAACATATGGATATAGCGGTGGAACTCCTTCGGTATTAGTTTTTAATATCGATAGTAGGTTTCTCGGTCGCTGCGACGGTGACGGTATGAGTTTCCGGTAGGGGGATTGATATACCATGAACCGTAATTGTAGTTCTACTAAGCGAGCAATATTGACGGCAGCTTTGAGAGTTGAAGATAAGCAAATTTTCTTTTGGTCGAATCGTAACATCATGGCGTCGCATCCAAGGTATCCCCATCACAATCGGATAGTGTCCCAACTTTGTCACAAAACATGACGCAGTCTCTCGATGGCCATGAATGTCTAACGAGACATCAACAATATGAGTAATTTTTCCTGACTTGATAGGTCTGCCGTCTATAACGTCTACATGTCGTGGGATTTTGAGTGAGGTCATGGTAAGATTGTTGTGGCGTGCAAAAGATTCATCGATGAAAGCATATCCTGAGGCTCCGGTATCAATAAGGGCGTAGGTGGGTACGAAAGTATTTTTATTCTGTGAAATTGAACAAGTTACTACAAATTGGTTCCCATCCATTTCCTCCTCAGATACCGAAAACCCAGAAATATGCATCCTAGAAAAATCCTTAAATGGTCCCTGGGCTAAGCCACTTAGTGCAGGGACAAATCTTTTGCCGACTCGTTATCGCTTCCGTCAATTTCCTCCACCCTCAACGCCGCTCCCCTCATCACCGGTCTCCTTGGTTGATTTCCAGTTGTCCTTGCTTGGGGACAATCCCTAACCATATGTCCGACTCCTCCGCAATAGAAACATCGGCCCTCAGCTAAGCGGGCATTTCTTTCGGCGGGGGTGGGGCGACGACGTCCCCCGGACAGATCCATCGGTACATCACCTCCCGGGCGGAATGAGGGATGGTTCTCAGGGGCAGGTGCATTGATAGCTGGGGCGGCAGCACGAGGAATAGGGGCAGAATTCCCTGGTGGGGGGCGAGGGGTCGGAGCAGCAGTAGCATTCCAAGGCTTTTTATTTCCTCGCTTAGCTTCTGCCGCTCGTCGTCGATTATCTAACCGTTGCAAAAGTGTCGCGCAGGCATCTACTGTCGCAGGAGTTTCATGGTGTATCATCGATTCATCGAGTTCCGCATTAATACCCTCCATTAAAGCCTCAATCCGAGAGACTTCATCCATCCCTGACTCGGCAGCATACCGTTGGAATTCGGCGAAGTAATCAGCAAAGGTTCTGTTTCGTTGACGGATGTTCCTAAGGTTCCTCCTAGCTGTACGCATTCGATCAGGATCCCCAAAAGCAGTATCTAAGATTTCATAAAACCGTAACATGGAAGGCAAAGCGATGCCTTCTTCTCCAACGTATTGTAAGAACTGATTGGCGGCGACACCCTCCAATCGGCTGAATGCATCGGATAATTTGGACTGTAGTGTGGGAAAGCGGTCGGCATTTCCCAATAGCTTGATTTTCATCTGTTGCTTGAATAGGTGTAGTCTTTCTCGATCGCGATCTCCCTTAAATACTTCAGGGTCTGGGAGTTTTTCCGACCGTTGGGTGACCACTGGAACAGGTGGAACTGGAGGTACCAGTGGGGCATTATCGTCTCCGATTGGTTCTTCATCAGGGGCAACCACCTCAACAGCGACTCGGTGGGCCCTGGCAGCGGCTAGATCTCGTTCGAACATCTCCCTTGCATTTCCAGCCTCCCTCTCCACTTCCTGTAAGTCCGTTGCATACTGAGCAAGGCCATGTTGTGCTCGTTGAAGAAGTGCATAGGCTTCTATTCCGACATTGCCATCCACCTCTGGATGTTCTTGAAAGAAGGTCTGAAGGGCATCGCTTAGCTGTTGATAATCAATAGGGAGATGTGCCACCATGGTAGACTATGGTGTTGTATTGGTTGGCAATAGAGGACGGAACTTGGTGTAACGGGGGTCTATGGACGTAGGGACTATGATGCCAAGGAATACAACCGAGGGGAGGACGTAGCAATAGGTATTCGAGATTGTGGACTATGGAGTGGCTTTGCCTAGTATGACTAACTAGTTAAGCCCTATGACGAGGTGTAGAACAAAGTAGTATTCGTGGAATAAGTACAAGAAGTTCCGTGAAGAGAAAAGGAAAGGGAAGAAAAACATGAAAAGGCACGAGACAACACCCCTTTATATATCCAGGCTCTAGTCCATTGATGACTCATACCTCGCGTAATGGAAACCCAAAGAACATAACAGAAACTCCATTACAAATCCTAATACAACTGCGCAATACCTTCCCTCCACAATCCAATCGATCATCCTAGCTAACAGATAATATTGCCGTTACAGAAGGGAAGCAATACCACCGCTACCCCGCTTCCCTCTAAGTATTAGCGGGTGCTTCTGGTTCCGAAGGCAACTACCCTTAGTCAAAGCCTTTGTAACAGCTGCAGTCTTGATTGTCGCACAACCAGGACCTGCATGAATGAGCTGCTGCTCAAGTATAAGCTTTGATCGTTACAGTAGAACTTTTCACTTATTGTAGACTTTCCCAGGCATAGTCCCTACCATTACCGGTGGACTTATTATGCTCAGAGGATATAGAGGATCACTGAGGACTCCGGGCTTCACTCTGGCTGGCCTTCTAATCATTGGCGAGGCACAGACTCGTCAGTTATTACTTCCATGAATAGATTCTCTTCCCAGCACTCAGAATGTAGTTACTCTGACAGCTGGTAGCTAACCACACTGCCGGTACTTGCATGTCACTGTGCAACTGGCTTCTAACAATAACTCTCAGCATGTAACCGGGCACTGTGTGTACTCATATACCAGACAGTTGAAGTAGCTCCGTTACATAAGACAAACATAGGATAGTGTGGTTAAAAGACGATCTGTCTGCATCGAACAACGCGTTTCTTAATTGGTGGTTTTAAATGACCATATTTTGTAGTCAAAAGATGAAGTGCAAAAATGGGTGGGGCATAATATGGAGTCGTTTGTTCAAAAGACCAAGTTCTGCAGGCAAAAGACGAATTTGGACATTTGGACGCCCGAATTTGTCTTGACGAAACTCGTTTTTTGCTAATGCATATTGATAGAAATTACAACTTCAGTTATCAGAGGACGAACTCGTCATAAGACGTCGAGATGACGTCTTGGAGTGAAAAGACGTGGTTTGCGTTTTGAGTACGTCTTTTGATTAAAAGACGCAGGGCGCTCATCGCGTGGTGTCCCGGTGTCAGTCTATAGGTAAGCAAAAGTCTCGTGGCATCTGGGGTATCTGGCGCATCTCGGGAGCACATGTGCCTCAAGATAACATATCATTTTTTGTTGATCTATTAAAAATTATACTCGAGTCACTGTAGTAATAAGAGAACAGTTTCACTAATATTAAAGTAAAACATATCACGATGAATACCTACCAAAACGGACTATAAAATACTGTTTGGCTATTTTTTTCAAGGACTTGGGTGGTTTTACTTCAAAGGTCAAATATTAGGATACAATGCATGAGCTTGATGGGAGGAAACTTGAACAACATTTTGTCATGTACCTTTTCATCAGGGCGTACGTAGGCCGACATATTTAATAAAGTAACCAAAATCCAATTTTATCTTTACTACTGAAGCTAAGAGAAGTCCCAAATATAAATCTCCCAACCGCTAATTTACCTGTCGTAGAGTTTTCCAGAGAAAACATAGTTGAGCTTACAGACGGAGAGCAAAGTCAAGGGGAGGATTCAGATTGGGAGTAAAAAAGGAACTTTAATATTTATAATGTATTTATTATTATTATTATCTAGAATCTCAATTTATTATAATTTATTATCTACATGTACTTTTGGGGGTTGTGATTTTGTGTTGTGGCGCCGTCAAGTTTCGGTGTTGCCAAATCGCCAAATTCATGTTTTGCACTTTTGTACGTTTTTTTTTTTTTTTTTGGATCATAGTTTCGTTTATTTCTAGGTACAAGAATATCGCATGGAGCCTAAGCTATGGCGTGAACAATACCTATCCCCTATACCGTCCGCCCGATCTTCCCGTTATAGTAACTGTGGTATGCTACCAACCGCACGTCCTCTTACAAGGTAGACGACAAGAGAATCCCCCCAACTACAAGTCGACAAAGGAAAAGAAGGAGAGAAGAGATTAACAAAATGACATATTGTCGGACCGCCCGTGATAATTCAGGGTCCCGAGTCGAAGGCAGTGTAATATCGAGAGGGAGCTCTTCCCCAGGAGGTTGAGCTGGTGTCAAGAAAAGTGAGGGGAGGACGGAGATATGAGCCTCTTAGCGGAGGCTGGGGTGAGAGGAGAGGGGAGGGTTGAGGGGGGCCGTGGCCGAAGTACCGAGGAGAGGTGCGGGCGCTGTGTCCTGTGAGATGTCCATAGCGGTGTGAGTTGAGGGGGGGGGTTTGCGGTGGTGGTGGGTTTCCTGCTAGGACAGGATGGGGTGAAGGAGCGGTGAGCCCCGCTACAGTTAGCGCACTTGGCGGGGGAGATTTCGCAGCAGTTTTCAAGAGGTGCTGATGCCCCTTTGCATGAGGGGACTGGGCAGCGGTGGTCCTGAATTCTGTGGGGGAGGGTACACAGGGGGCAGGCGGTGGGAGACCTGCATCCTTGGGTGGCGTGACCGAGTTTGCAGCAGTTCCTGCATTTGGTGGAGGGGGACGCTCGCCACATGAAGTTGCAGCGTCTGGGGAGGGAGAAGAGGCGGATGGTGGTGCCAAAGGTTGTTGCCTCATCTGCCGTTACGGAAACGACAACGGAGGTGGTGGCCTTGGAGCAGCGGGAGATTTCGTCCGTGTTTAGGAACCAGACGGCAGCTGGGGTGATCCCAACGGCGAGCTTCAGAGCGGAGGGCAGGATCTCCTCTAGGCACTCCTGGTTAGGGAGCTCGTAGAGGGGGACGCCGTGGATGGAGAGGTCGACGTTGGTGAGGGCGGGGCGGAAGGTGGTGAAGGGGTTCTCAGGGGTGGCCACCTCCACGTTGAGGATGGTGGTAAGGGCCTTGAAGAAGGGCGCGTAGACCGTTGATGGGACGGTGGGGGGGGCTGTGACAGAGACGGTGCCTCTGGGGTTGATGGTGACGGAGAGGGAGGTAACCGGGGCGGTTTGGTTGTTTCGGGCCAGAGCTTGGCCGAAGAGGCGTGGGAGGGTAACCAATAGCCTTTCGGCATCGGTAATGGGGCCAGGGGTTGTCCTTGTTGCAAAGAAGCAGTGGTGGGCTGACGCCAGGGCCTTCTCCTTCGGGGAGGATCCTGGGGGCGATGCCTGGCCTGTTTTGTCAGCCTTCTTGCTGGGGGTGTTGGGTGGGTTGGGGGCGGAACGGACCACCTAAGCATGTGTGGGGGTTGCCCTTGGTAGGGTAGGCTTGGCGGGCGGGGTAGGCCTGTGGGGGGCCTGGGGGGTTGGTGAGGGTGTGTTGGCTTTGTCGATTAGGGCGTCCAACTTCTGCATGATGCGGGGGTCTGAGGTGGGAGGCGCGGCTTTGGGGGCCGTGATCTCCTTTCTCAGAGAGGCGAGGTCGTCTCCTATCTTGGAGACTGCGGTGGGAGTTTGGCTTGTTGCCCGAGGCTTGTCAGTAGGAGTAGAATGAGCGGCTTGTTGAATCTGCTCGTGTGCAGGTCTCTGAGGACAAGGCCGCTCAGGGTGTTTAGTGTGTCGGTGCGTTCCGAGGTGTTACCCAAGTCGGCATCGAGGTGGTATAGACCTGAGGCTTCTAGGACCAGCGAGTCTATTTGGCGGAGTAGTAGGCCCTGAGGGTCCAAGTATTGCATTGAAGCCATGATGGGGGGTGGGTTTTGGTGTGTGGGGACGGTTGCCACGTAGAAATGTGGAGGTTGGTTTCAAAAACCAAGGATAAAGAGGGGAAGAAGGATGTGCACTTTTGTACGTACGAGCCGCCGTATTAAATAATACCCCAGTTATGAAGTCAACTTACATGCACCCAACAATACTACGTGTACCTACCTATCCTCGCGGTACTGGACATGTAGTTATACGAGACGTGAAGTATGTGTAACAGCCTGTGCCTACTTAAGTAGGTATTCTATCCATCTATGAGCTTATGCTAAGTCCTGTATCAGAGCAACTCCATCGTTCCTGCTTCTAAATCAAAGTCCATGGATATCTCTTCGTCAACGTCCAAGGTCACAGTAACGTACGCGCCCCTCAACTTCCCCACATGCGAATTGTGTTTTCTGATGCGCCTTTCGAGATAGCTACTGGGACCCCTTCAGTCTCTATCCTCTGATATCTTCCGACCTCCGTTCTCGACTCCCTTTACGAAACCTACATTGGAAAGCGCCTGCCCGCCCACTGCGCTCCATCAATTCCCTCCATGTAGAGCTCAACCCATCCCCTTCATCTCCAGCATTCGGGTCTTCACACGATCTTACTCGTGTGAAGAGCTCTGAGTCTTCGCGTTCTGTGGATTCTACCGTCCGTTCGGCCTCGAAGCCCTCTGCGCCCCAAAAGGAGCGTCGGCACCAGATTCCCGGTCTGCGGAATACCCCATATCTCAAGATATTTTTGCTTAGATGCGATGATAACGATACCTACAAAAACACCTCGCGGAAACTTCTCCGCGAGTGGGTTTCCGAACACACAGCTAGCTCATCCAACGAGAACAAGCAGCATGATGCATTCGAGTGGCTTATTATCCATGTAGTCCTACCAAATACATCGGCAGCGCTCCAGCCCCGATCTTCATCATCTGCATCAAATGCCGCCGGCAGCTCTCGTTGGATGAAAGGCAGCACAACTCTCTTAGACAAAATTAGGGGTGATTTTAATTCAAACACTAGCAAAAAAGATAGAATTGTCCAGATCAGAATATCCCCCACACATCCAGCACTGGCCACACTAAGCCCTCCGGTATTGGTGGGAAATCAAATAGTTCCAGTTCCTGAAACTCCGACTGAAAGCGAAATGGCATGGCTGGATCTTATTGCCAAGTTTAAAACCCAAATCCTTGCTAGTTTTGACGCAAGAGTTAGTCAATATGAGGACGACATCCGAGAGAAGGATAGCCAAAGAAGGCTACCTGGTTGGAACTTTTGCACATTTTTCGTGTTAAAAGAAGGTCTTGCCAGAGCATTTGAGTCTGTTGGCTTGGTAGAGGATGCTTTGGTACTTTATGATGAATTAGGTTTTGGTCTTGACGCAATTGCGCGGGATCAAGAGCAAAAAGAAAAGGCCGAATCTAGCCCGGATGATGTTGTAGGGGGCAAGTTTGTTGGATGGACAAAGGAGAGCATTTGGTGGATTGAAAAGGCTAGAAACAGATGGGCTGCACGTCGTGGAGGAAAGGATGACGAAGAACAGGAAGATGTTGATGAAGGAAACCCCCTTGGCACAGAAAGGAAACATTACAGGGAGTTAATCTTGTCAAACGAAATCTCGCTATTTGACTTCAAATGTTATCTGTTTGCACGGCAATCTACACTATTGCTCCGGCTGGGTAAAGGCCATAACATCGGATTAGATATTGGTTCACCAGGCACTGCATCAGGGACGTTTTCTCTTCACGAGGCTGCAGCCGCGGCGGTTGGCAAGCCAGAGGAGGATTTAACTAGGTTGGCAGAGGTCTGTAAACGTGGTCTGGAATTTGTTACTAGCGTGGCTAGAGCTTTGCGGGCCGATCTATGGACCGCATATCACTCTTCTTCAGAAGAGAAGCCTGACGAAAACGAAGATAATGTTAGCTGGATGGTTGACAATATTGTTTCATCCTGGATATTCGCTGTTTGTGAACAGCTATTGAATCAAACAGCAACTTCCATACTTGCGGAAGGTTCTCTTGCATCCCCAACAGACTCAGTTTCCGGGAAATTCCCACGAAGAACTAGTAGCCTGCCTCCTACACCAAGCTCCGAAATCACTTCTTTTGGGCAGACTCATCAGGGGTCCATATCAGGATTAGAAGATCTTGCAGCAGTTCGCGCAGACTTAATGCTTCTAGCACGTGGTGTTGTGGAGACCTTTGGAAAAAGGAAGGGATGGATCGGTAGTCTAGGGTGGTTTTTTCTTCCTGAAGTGGAGCGGGGTGAAGTTGAGCCTAAAATGGAGGAAGTGAGATTAGATGACGATAGAGATACGCCCCAAACTAAAACGGCCTCCGAAAAGAATATAATAGATTTCTGGGGTGTGGAGGGAATCCGAAATGCGACTTTGAGAAGGGTTATCGAAGGCGACAGAAAGGAGGAATTTTACAAAATATTTGAAGATTTGAGCGAGAAAGCCATGACAAACTTTGGGCTAGCTAAAAGGGTTAAGAGCTGTGAGAGGGTTGAGGCAGATTTGGCAGCTTTAAGATTGTGAGATATATTTTGGATTCCCCCTGATCTGGCACGTTGCCTCGATAGATGGCTGACCTACCACCTTGGCTATTAAATAGTCATTTAAAAGACTATGCTAGAGCTGCTAGCCATCTCGAAAAAATGACAAAATTTTACGCTGATCAAGGCTGGGGTCTAATTGAAACGACGTTACTAGGGATGTACGCCAAATGCCTGAAAGAGATGAATCGTAAAGAGGAGTACGTCATGGTGCTTATGAAGCTTCTTACTAAAAGCTCTACAGCAGAAAGGGTACGTCTACGGCGTCGAGGGATAGAATCGCTCGAGAATGAGCTTGCAGAAAAATCGGGTTCCCTCGACAGTCACGTTCTAGAAGAAGAAGCCGCTGTCATAGGCTATATCGATAGCATTGTTGAATTATCTAAAGATAATTCCAAAGAAATATCCGCACCAATGTCTAACTTCTGGAGCGACATTACTGTCGATCCATATCCTCGACATATGATCGATAGAGATGGATTTGAAGTCGTAGTAAAGATGAGATATCTCTTAAAGGAGGAAATGCGGGTGGAGAAAATTAGGGTCAGAATTGTGAATACAGTTGGGCAGGTCAAAGAGGTGTGGATGGAAACCGAAGAGCCTACGATAATGAAGAAAGGAATCGTGCGGGCTTTGGTTAGAACGAATGCCACGGTACCAGGAACTTATATGGCGGATCGGATTATTGTCACTGCGAATAAGCTTACTTTTTTGCACGAGTTGACGCCCAAGTCGTCCCCTGTTACTCCAGCAGGCCTCCCGGCAAACTCTGGGGTAGCCGTCACTACTGCTAAGAAACTAAAGCTCTCATTCTTTCCCGCACCCCGGAATTTATTAGTGAGATTGGAGGTACCGAAGGAAATCAACCTTGATCACCCTAAGGCAACGGAGATTGTACTTAACCCCGGGGAGAACTTAGTGCTCAAAGGAGAGCTGAGGGTTCGTTCTGCCACAGCCGGATTGAGACTTATGACAGCCGACCTTAAGGTTCTCGAAGGTGAGGGTATGGTTGATACAAACGAAAAGCCAGGGGTCATTTTGTTCAGTAACATGGGGAAAGGGCAGAAGATTCGACTGAGAGTTCCCTATACTAGCGAAAACGATTTGACTGAATTATCAGTGAAAGTGGAGATTGACTATACTACAGTAACTGGCGATTTTTTCTTCGCGGACAAGCTTAGTATCGCTGTGATATTGCCCCTTGCAGTGAATGTTCAAGATGTTTTTAAGCCCGGATCACTGTTCTCTAAATTCCAGGTCTCGACGGCAAATCCTGAAATGCCTTTACGCATCCTAAAAGCAACTTTAGAAGGATCAGACAGTTTTGAGGCTAAAAGTGGGCAAGGGACCGAAGGATCCATGGTATGCGTAATTCTTTTTGTATTAGAAAACATATTACCTGCACAAACATATCTGATGATTGAGATAACCAGGTCGTTTTTGCAAAGCAGCCAGCATCATTCACGTATAAAATTACTAGGAAGGGGCCCAAAGAATCTCAAAAAGAGCAGCCTTTAGCTTTGATTATTAAATACCGAACCATAGATGAAGGTAGGTTTTGGAAGATAGGCAACAAACCTAAACGCTAATTTATATTAGAAATTATTCAATCTGTCCGATCTACTTTCGCATCGCAGCTTCAAGCTGCTGGGAAGGAGAAATACATGCATTGGCTTCAGCCTATACTAATTTCTCAACTCCAAAAAAGACATCTGCTAGAGTTAGAAACAACGGCATTATTGGGCGAGGTCCGCCTAGGCACTTATGAAGAATATGGGTGGGAAGAGGCTCTGGATGGTATTACTCCAACACACGGAGAAAGGGAACAGATGGAGCATTGGTTGAAGGAGTTTTATAAGGTTTGTTCCAACAAGCTGCTTCAAGGAATCCACTAATATTATGACTGCAGAAAAATGCAATAATTCAGCTTAACTCGGCTTTCGAGGATCCCGATACGGAACCAATTACACGCTTGGTAGTCATCCCTGTCGAGGTTCCACAACTGCAAGTCATACACACCGTAGAAATCAACATACTCTCAGATGCCAATTCTAAATCCCTTTCAACACCATATACACCTCAGATGGTAGCTGTGGGGCAAGCTATCCCTGCAGAATTAGTAATTCGTCACTCTAGAGCTTGGAACGCTGTATATGCTAAGGACGAGGAGATTGATGTGGGGGATGAAGAGCTGGAGTTTTTTTATGAAGTTCAAAATAACCTGGAGGTATGGCTGGTATCTGGGCGAAAAAGATCCCACTTCACTGCAAAGGTAAGTTATTTCAAAGAAAGGTATCGTAAAATCGTCGAGTAACAGACTTACAATTCGTAGGAAGGGCAAATCCATCGTTTCCCTATACTTCTGGTCCCGCTCAAAGCAGGAAATTTATTACTCCCCAACGTGGAGGTTAAACAATACATCCCAGTACAGCAACAATCCGAGACAACAGGGATCATCAGTTCAGAAACGGACTATAGAAGTAATGGAGAATGCGTTTTAGTGTTGCCGGATGTGAGAAGCACGACAGTCAAGATCGACTCGAGTTTTGGTGGCGAGGAGGGATTCAGGAGTCCGGCTTCTATACGGGCATAATTCATTCACTGATACCTCAATGTGTTATAAGATAATTATGTATCTTCATTCCTCTAGCGAACAAGCATAAATACGCATAGATGAGGACCATTTGAAATACATGTAAGCCATGCAGGCACATACTGGCCTGCAGGTAATTGGATTGTAGTTCTCTAGGTCAAAAAGTATTTTGACAAATACCATAATGCTACCGTCATGCTGGAAGGATCATAATTTAGTTTGAGGCCACTTCTCATGTTCACCATCATACAGTGTCGGTAACTAGTGATCCAGCTGTTTTACGGGTTGATTCGGCATTCTCACACAATGCCATATCACTGGCTGTGCGGACTACATCGCATTTTCCTGCATTTTACTATTTTACTCACAATTGCATCTGTTCATCACCACTACGGTTCATTTCCACTACAAAAACAACGCCTTACGTCTGGTGTCCTTTTATGGCCCAATCTCACTACATTTGGCTGTCTCAGTTAAAGCAACGTAAATGTTTTGATGGCGGAGATGGTGAGTTACAGGAACAGATAGAAATGCATGATGGCAGGTCACCGTGAGCTGCATAATGATGCTGTGGGATCTGTATAGTAGAGAGTACATGTACTTTAGCGTTGTATATTGGGAGCCGCGCCATGGCCCAGATGCAGTACCTACTGCTGTATTTAAACGCAACCGTGCAACTACCTACCTCTGTCCCCCAATCTATCATACTCGCCGAATAGCACGCACAATGTCTTCTTCTGTGCCTAATGAGAGCCTTGTTTCCATCAATCCCTCTGCACTACAAACAACCCTTTCAACAGAATCGTTAAAAAAATGGGAACTCGGCGTCTCACTGGTTTTGCATAACTGGAGTGTTCTTACGGATGCTGTTGTAGCTCAATGGGGCGGACCTGACAGTGACGACAAGCGTGACTGGCTCTGTGGCGCTATTGCAGATATGTTTACGGAGCGAGAGGAAACAGATGAGTACGATATTGAAAGCGTGTTGGTACAAGTCATGGGGGATGAGTTTCAAGTAAATTTGGAGGACGATTCAGCATGGGGGGTAAAGATTTACAATATATCTCATATATTCTCTGCCACTGACGGTTCAATAGATCGCCCAAAAATTAGTTTCTCTGCGCAACGAGGTGCTGGAGGGAAACTTGTTTACAATAGACGAATTACACACCAAATTTCTCGCGAAACCAAAGAATCAACACCCGAGAGTCCCACAAGTGACAGAGGTTACCGAAGAGGCCGGCTCAAGCGAAGACGAGGGAGATAGTGATGAAGAAATGTCAGAAGCACCTTCGACAGGGCCTGCAGAGACCAGACAAAGCGTCGAGCCAGTCATAGATGAGGACGGTTTTGAGTTGGTGCAAAAGCGGAGAAGAAAGTAGGAGAAAAAAAGGTTTAAAATATCAATATAGGTTTCTTTAAATAAAGGATTGTATTGCTGGAGAAAATAAACGTGATCCAAGTAAAAATGATATGCACCTACATACATGTAGTGCAGTTGCTTCTACACCCCACCATTCGTAACACACCACCCCACCTTATGTGTGACATGAAGGATAACTAGAATTAGAACAACATCACGTCCCACTGTCTACACCAAGTATAGAACATAAGGTCGGGACCATGGATTTTTTTCTCACCAAGGTATCGCAGCAAGCAGGTATATATATATTCATCATTCTTATCGGGTACCACAGGAGAAAACCGACTGACAAACATTCCTTATCAAAGTGTCTTTTGCCATCAAGTAATTAATATCCTATCCCTCCGTCTTACAAAATCTCTCTAACTCTCGAATTTAGATCGGGAATCACCGTAACAACCACGTTTGCTTATCATCAAATTGGACGGTACATTGCAGTGAGTAAAGCTATATCGTTTTTGGAATTATTGTTTAGATACATTTATTAAGATATCATAGTCAACCAGAGGGAAAGACCGACAAGAATTGCTTTCTCTCAAAGAACGATTGCAAACGAAGATTGATGTGCGTGATTGTTTAGTCTTTCCTACGCTCTACGAGTAGATTCCCTGACTATGCTCCCTTTTTAAGATCATTTCACCGGCTATCGATCTAGTGGAAATCATGTAAGTCATGGACCCATCTTTGCTCTTTGCGGAAGTCTGACTTGTCTTACTCGATAGCTCAGCTAGAGGGAATACATCTCTTGAGAGTGCCTTGACACTAACTAAGGCAATACGGCATGATATCAAATCTCTTGGTGTGCGCTTGTCGGACCTCTCGAATCAAAAGGAAGGTAGAAAACGGCCCAAAAACCAGGACGAAATCAAAGGAGTTGTGCGTGATATTAAAGACCTACTCGAAAAGATAGAAGATGTATGTTCCCCAAATGGTTTATCGATGATTTGGTGGTTCAAAGCTAACACATTGTATCTAAAAAGGCCGTTCCATTTATCAGCTTAGCTGTCACAACATCTGGAGTGGAATTGTCATCCAATATTCCCCATAATGTTTCACCGTCCCGGCTACTCCAGGCATCGACTTTACTTACTGCTGGTGACACAGCTTATGCCCTCAATCCTTTCAACCCTGCACAAATAGGCACAACATTCACCCTGAGCCTCTATATGCTTTTTGCTAGCCACTCACATCGGCAAGAGCATATCTCTGCCAAAGACCTTACTTGGAAAGAGGTTATCTACAGGTGCAGGGTGAAGTTACAGAGGATTCCACTAGTTTATGATGAGGATGATGACGGCTATAGTTCAAAGCACCTACAAGCTCGAACCAAAATTGAGGAGTATTACTATGAACTATGTCTCATCGAAGACCTGGATGATGGGCGGGTTCATGAATTGGAAGAACTGGGGCAACAACCAGGGTCTTATGAAGACGTTCTAAATGCTGGGCTGAGGACGCGAATTCCGGTTCATGAGATCTCGAAGCTTTTCTACACAAATTCTGGTACACTTCTCGGTATAGAAGACTCCAATTCTCCGATTCTTCTATTAAAACGGGATATCAATGCCCCACACCCACGTAAGCTTATGGATAGAATCCAAGCATATCATAATGAATACGAGGACAGTGAAGAAGAACATGATGAGGGTTATGCTCTAGATATGGGGGAAGGTGGGTCAATTCGGACCGAGGATGGACCAATTTTGCCTGACGAATATGAACTACCACGCCATCTTGATCCTGAATGGCTTGCATTTGAGATCTTCACCGAATCCATTGGTGATGAAGGTATCACAGAAAACGGCTCTGAATATGACTCAGAAGAAGATGTATCAGAACATTATGCATCTCCTCCGTCTCCACAACCTGGTATAGGGTCTGTAGTCACCAATTCATCTATGAAGAGTTCGGATATCCATCATGGCTACTCGACTCCGTCTCGTCCTTGCAGTTCACAAGATGTGAAGTCTAATCTTTCCGTCCTTGAGTGTCTGCTCCGTTTGACCGCTCTCCAAAACTACCAGCAAGCGTCACACTTAACGGTACACGATGAACTTCTGAATCTTTTCCTTTCAGACTCTGCTCTATCGGGCTCAAGGGAGATCAGACAGTTGGAACGGGAGAACGCTCGGAGAAGAATTGGTTTCGACCCCTTCGGCTCGTCGGAGAAGAAAAGGCAACTACCACCATCAAATATAAAAAAGGATTCAAAATTAAGGAGTATCCAGCTTACCGAAACTCCTCCAAGAAAAGGATTACACGAAATGCATATAGGTAAGGGGGAAGACGTACAAGAATTTTCGGGTATCTCTCGGGGGGGTTGGAGTCTCCCGCTGCTCCAAGCTCTGGTGGAAAAACTAGAGAGTTGGTTGGTTCCAACATTGCCTCAGTAAACCCGGGGCTTTGGACTCCTGATCAGCAGCTTAGCACCATGCTCGACCATTCACACATATCAAGGCCAATTCCCAAGTGAAATTTCATGAAAGGGGTACGGAGATGTTGGAAGTGCAGGCTGGTGATTTTGATAGGTGCTGGGGTTGGAAATAATTACATGTAATATTATATTACGAATTGATAAGTTTATGTACTGATTTTCCTTTCATATGAGAGCCCAGAGAAATCACTTCGCAGTCTTGAATAATAATTCACTGTTCACAACAGCATTTGTACGGTTCTCAGGAAACATGCTAAGACCTCAAATTTGTATGAGTCTTGGCAAAATCTACCCTAACCTCAAAATTCTCGTATTACAACCACCCAACCCTTTACGTATTTAATAAATTGAGATATCGCTTGAACAGTGTGATATTGGCTACATGTAGTATCTTTCAATACTGAGGGCTTTAAAATAGTTGAAAGCTAGAAGGGTGGTGGGTAATAGAGATAGGGTTAGGTTTACGCGTTGATAAGTAGGTGCTGGTATAAGCAGGTGCTGGTATGTAACGAAAGACTCCCGAGCTTCGCAAACACTTCACAGCAACGCTCTATAGCTCCATAGCTTTTACACGTTTCGATTCCCAAGTTTTGTCCTCAGCAATGCTATAGTAAAACGGTTTGATATCCAAGATGCCTTACAATATTGCGTATGTACTTAGGACTCAACTATCTATCCTAGGAGCTGATATCACTGACTATTCGCAATCTAGAATGACCAGCGACTTTTTCTACCCCCAGCCTGGTATGAAATTGCTTGACCTCCCGTGAGTAGTTATTATTAACAATGCTTCAATCAGGTGGAGTGGAAAGTCATATGTATCAGCTTGCCACGGTATTACTTATTTTCCTTTATCTTTTATCGCAAAGCTAACTTTTAATGCAACAGAAACTGATTGATCGCGGGCATAAGGTAATAATCATAACGCATTCTTACAAGACCCGGCACGGGGTGCGATACCTCACGAACGGCCTCAAGGTTTACTATGTTCCATTTTTCGTAATTTATCGCGAATCCACATTACCAACAGTATTCTCGTTTTTCCCCATATTCCGCAACATCCTGATTCGCGAAAAAATTGACATTGTTCATGGCCACGCCTCATTGAGTAGTCTCTGTCATGAAGCCATTCTTCATGCCAGGACTATGGGGCTAAGAACATGCTTTACGGACCACAGTCTATTTGGGTTTGCAGATGCCGCAAGTATTCTTACCAATAAGCTGTTAAAATTCACCCTGAGCGACGTTGATCACGTTATATGTGTTAGCCATACTTGGTAGGACTAGCTTTTCTCTATAGATGGAGCAAATCAACACTGACGCGAACTGTGCTTGAAGTAAAGAAAATACTGTGTTACGAGCTGCCCTTGACCCAAGTATGGTCTCAGTAATACCCAACGCTGTCGTGGCCGAGAACTTCAAACCAGATCCAACAGCGGCTTCAAAATCACACATAACAATTGTTGTGATATCTCGCCTTTTCTACAATAAAGGTACCGACCTTCTTGTTGCTGCAATTCCCAGGATTTGCGAGCTCCATCCTTCAGTCCATTTTATCATCGCAGGATCAGGTCCCAAAGCAATCGATCTCGAGCAGATGTTAGAGAAACACATGCTTCAAGACCGAGTTCAAATGCTTGGTCCGGTCCGTCACGAAGAAGTAAGAGACGTCATGGTTAGGGGTCATATTTACCTTCACCCGTCATTAACGGAAGCATTTGGAACAGTACTGGTGGAGGCTGCAAGCTGCGGGCTATATGTTGTGTGTACTAGAGTTGGAGGAATACCGGAGGTTTTGCCCAGTCACATGACAGTGTTTTCGAGACCGGAGGAAGACGATCTTGTCAGTGCGACCAGTAGGGCTATCAAAGAGATAAGAATGGGAAGGGTCAAGACAGAAAAGTTCCACGAACAAGTCAAAAGCATGTATTCATGGACTGATGTGGCCGAAAGAACGGAGCGGGTTTATGAAGGAATCTGTACGGGGGAAAGAGTAGGTTTGATGGAGAGACTGAAGAGATATTATGGATGTGGAATATGGGCAGGCAAACTGTTCGTGCTATGCGTAGTTGTAGACTCTCTAATCCTGGTGGTGTGTATTGCTACCTTCGTCTTTTCAAGTCATTTGTAGCAGCCGCGGCGTACTAACCCGACTTCGATTTAGTTGTTAGAATTTTTGTTCCCTCAAAGTGGAATTGATACCGCGAGGAGTTGGCCAACAAAGGCCCCCAGAATGACTGATGGGGGTGGCAGAAGAGACAGATCAAAGAGGAGAGGTTCCAATGTAGAGGCAGTAGTTGAAGAAGATTTGAATGGTGTTAGGGAAAACTAGATACCTCCAGGTGTGTTGGGTGGGGCTGTCCGTGCATTATATTACCAGGAAATCCCCTTTATATAGATTTTAAAGAGTTTCTAATTAATTACGAATTACTTTGGTTGTGGTGAAAAAACACCCAAATGCAATCGTTTTTGTTGGTGATAAGTATACAAATACAGAAGCTTAGAAGGTAGCAGTTCCCAGAAAAATAGAGACAACCTTGAAAACACGAGCGACGCCGAGAACCCCCATAAAACTATTACCGTCCACCCGTGCCCAATCCTCACTATCATCGTTTCCTTTCCCGCCGAATTCGATTTTGCTGGTAGCAGACTATCGCGCCTCGAATTGAACCATACTAGTGAACGCAAGCCAAGTTAGAACTACCATACTCAAATGAGTGTAATCGAGGACAGGACAAGGACGCACCGTTTGGTCCTTTGCTTGTAAAGAATGCGATGGCCGCACTCTTTGCATCGAATAGGCTCGCCCTTGTTGATTGCAACCTTCACTCCACACTCAGCGCAGAGGTAATGCATAGTCCCTGAAGCAGCTGAAGCACCAGCGTAAGAACGCCCAGCGCCACCGGCAGGAGGTTGGTAGGATTCACGCTGATCAGACATGGAGCACTATAGATTTTTTGTATGTCTTGGTAGGCTGGAGTTCAATTTTGTGTTTTTACTAGGTTAGAAGTGTTGGTGATTCATTTGACTAGAAATGCTACTATAGACCGGGTAACTCTTTGTAAGCTTCCTATAGTACGTGCGGTTCATCTTTTCAAGTCTCCCCCGAACACCGCGAAATTTACCACCTCGCACCACCATAATCTTCTGCCGCTATGGACCCTGAAAGAGAGTGCTCTCGCTTATGGCGTGCCTGGAGAACCGTTCATGAGATGGTCAAGGATCGTGTAAGTACCGTGATTACGAGACTGCGACAGGTCGAGAAATTTCCTACCAAAATGGGGAGCTAACAATTCTTAGGGCTACGAAATCTCTGAGGAGGAAGTTAACATCACTCTCGACGAGTTCAGACGCCACTACTGCGATAGTGAAGGCCGTCCTCAGTATTCACACCTTTTCTCCTCTCCCACTCACACCTACTTACCTGGTTCCTAGGCGCAAAAACATGACTTTTAAAGCGAATCCATCAGAGAAGATGCTGAAGCAGCACGCTGCACCCCCTGGACAACCTGCAAATGTTGGTACAATCTGGGTGGAGTTCTCATCGGAATCTAATATCGGTATCAAACACATGAGAACCTTTGCGCACACTATTGTATCCGAGAACTATCACACCGGTATCTTTGTTTGCCAACACAACCCCACTGCTGCAGCTATGAAGATCGTTCCAACTGTCCTCCCAGCTATCATAGAGGTATTTGAGGAGGCCGATCTACTGGTAAACATCACGAAGCACGAATTAGTCCCTACTCATCACCTACTCAGTCGGGAAGAGAAGCGAAGACTACTGGAAAGATATCGTCTGAAGGAGACACAGCTGCCTAGAATACAGAGTGCTGATCCTGTCGCGAGGTACATGGGTCTTAAACGTGGAATGGTGGTTAAAATTGTCAGGAAGAGCGAGACCAGCGGTAGATACGCCAGTTATCGTCTGTGTATGTGAGGAGAAGTATTTGGAAGCCCGAAAAAATGATATTCCGGGTGGCTTTAGTGGCTTTGTTATCTCCCCCCTCCCCACTTGCTACTGTCTTTAAGGTATTGTTCTATTGCATAAATGCTAAGAGCTTTATCGAGATGGAAACCTCGAAGGTTTAATATGAGGCTTGGGGTAACTACACCGCGTAAAAAAGGGACAGGAGTTTCTGGTTTTCTTCTCTTCTTCCCTTTTCCAATTATATTTGTCTTCCTTTTCCCTGTCTGTAATTTATTTAGGAGCAATGGGGTGGGAGATATTGTCTTCTCAAATGAGTATGAAATTCGACCACTATAATACAAATATGATTGAGGAATCAAAATCCTAACATGCTTTTCATCCAGTCAACTACCTTATCCACGCCTTGTCCTCGGAGGGCACTAATCGGTAATAGACCAATCTTTTTTCCATCACCACCCTTCTTTACTTCAAACTCTAGGTATTTCTTCAGTGCCCAGTACTTATCCTCTGTCCCTGATAGGTCTGCTTTGTTTGCAATAACAAACCAAGGCTTCGATGTCATGTTAGGCCGTTCTTGTCGTGGATGTAGTGACCCCAGCTCAAAGTCAGAGCTTCCCTTATCTAGTTTACTTTGTCGGGTGTGTGGTGCTTCCCTACGAGGCACAAGAGAACCAACTCCACCAAACCGGACCATGCCTCCTTCAACGTTCTCTATATCTGGTTTCTCGGGCTCCACCTGGCCTTGGACTAGATTCGTCTCGATATCCGGCCCGCCCATAGGTTCAATATCCATATTTTTGTTCCCTGCCATCTCACTCATCATTCCTTTAACATTTGGGCCATCTTCTTCACCATCCCTTCCCTGTTCGTAAGCCTTTACTTCTCTCCAAAGGCCCTTTAAATCACCGACTGGATCATCCCTCGAAAGATCGATAACAAAACCCAAAACCTTGGCTCTTTCAACATGCCTCAAGAACCCGTGTCCTAATCCCTTATTTAGGTGGGCATCTGAGATCAATCCTGGGATGTCTGCAATTGTAAATCTAGGCTGTTGCTGATTTTGCCATGAGTCCACGGGGACTTGAGGCGGCAACGCCCGTTCGTCCAAAACAATAGTCCCAATATTCGGCGACAAGGTCGTGAAGGCCCATTCCCCCACCCTGGCCTGCTTCCCTGAAACCGAACGAAGGAAAGAGGATTTACCTGCATTCGGAAGTCCAACTAGACCAACATCTGCAAGAATTTTCAGCTCGAGTTGAATTTTCATTCGTGCGCCCTTTCCACCTTTAGTTGCAAATTTTGGTCGGCGAAGCTCGGTGGAGACAAAATGCGGATTCCCAAAACCACCAGGCGCACCTGGAAGAAGCAAGATCGGCTCTAATGTTGGCTCAGATAGATCTAAGCAAACGGGTGTGGGGTGAGTCTGAGTGAGAAGATCCGACGAGGAGCGATGATGGTAAAAGGGGAATGCTGCCTCGTTAAACTGTGTGCTTTGCAAATTTTGCGAAAGACTTCTAGGGTAATGGAGCCAATGATCATTTCCTCCATGTTTTTTGCTGGGCTGTATAGGTTCTTCCAATTGTTTCCTTTTTCTCCTTTTCCTGAATTCTCCCTCCACCTCTTCATCATTCTCATCCTTCTCAGCCTCCTCTTCCTCCGTTTCTTCTTTTGTCCTCGCTTTCTCTTTTGCCCTCGCTTTTTTCTTTTCTTTCTTTACTCTTGCCCTCGCTTTTGCATCTGCGACTGCCTTTGTAGCGTATTCCTCCTCAAAATCATTCTCTGGGCCCAACTCCTCTGCTGTTGGATCCCATCGCGAAATTTCACGTACCACTGTGCCCACTGGTACTCGGATTATTACATCATCGCCTCTTTTTCCATTAATTGCACTGCCTTGGCCATTTCTTCCTGCGGTAGCCTGTACCGAGCCATCTCTTGCTATTTTGTGAAGGGAAGTTTCACCATATACGGCCTGGATATAGATTGAACCACCTGTTCCACCGTCGCCACCATTCGCAGGGCCGTTGGGGACGAACTTCTCGCGAAGAAAGGAAATGCAGCCATTACCACCTGAGCCTGCTGAAAGTGAGAGTACCCTAAGATCTGTGAAGGGCGAAGTACTGAAAGTTGAATGTGGATGGTGAGGCTGTTGGACAGAAAGCAATTCTTCCAGTTCCTTCTCATCCTTCTTTTGTTCTAATTCTAGTTCTTCGAGAATGGGTCTCTTGTATACTCCATTTTCAAGTGGGAGGTTCTGCCTAAGGACGGCTTTAGAGCTTATTGGCCGACAAGATGAGGATGTCAATGATTTTGTAACCGCTAAAAATAAATCCGACCGCTGGACACCAGTATGGTGGGCTGATGTCCTAGGATAGAAGAAAGAAGCCAATGCAAAGGCGTTAGATACATTCCGAGGGCACTTCAAGATAGACTGACGTAGTCGAAAAGCCATTCTTGCGACAATAGAAGGTGTTTCTTTCTCTGGTCAATTGAACTTTGGGCAAAAGGTGTTTCACAACTGAAATAATAGATCCGGGTAACGTTGGTTATTATAGCAACCTACTGTCCTCTAAGTAAACACAGTTCAGATTTGTGCCCTGTCAATCAACTCGCCAGCCCAGAACCGCCTTACCTTAATCATCTATTTTCAGTTTACTACTACTCGTCTATTATAAGCGCGTCGCAATGTCGGGCGCTCGTCATTGGGAACAAGACAAGGAGGCAACAGTCTACATTGGAAACCTTGATGAGAGAGTGTCGGATGCCCTGGTTTGGGAGCTTATGCTGCAGGCCGGACGGATCGTATGCTACTCTTTGTACTCTATAAATTTTTCAACAATAACCCTGACAGCTTCATACAGGTTAACGTTCATTTGCCCAAAGATCGTGTCACCCAGACACACCAAGGCTTTGGTTTCGTAGAATTTATCTCGGAGGAGGATGCCGAATACGCTGCTAGAATCATGAACCAAGTGCGACTCTATGGGAAACCAATTCGTGTGAATAAAGTACGTAACCCAAGTTACAGTCTGTGTGGAGCGCTCTATTGACGGCGATGACAGGCGTCGGCAGATAAACAAAAGACGGTGGAAGTTGGCGCTGAGCTATTTGTTGGTAATTTGGATCCGATGGTAGATGAAAAGACGCTGTACGATACATTCAGCACCTTTGGAAACCTTGTTGCTGCGCCAAAGGTATGTTACGGAAAGAAAACTATGCCTTGAAACAGTATTAACTATCTCTTCTCTAGATTGCCCGTGATGACCAAGGGGTATCTAAAGGTTTCGGCTTTATCTCTTACGACTCTTTCGAAGCTTCCGACAAAGCTATCGAATCTATGCATAACCAGTTTCTCATGAACAAAGAAATCAATGTCCAATATGCCTATAAGAAGGATGGTAAGGGAGAGCGTCACGGAGATCAGGCGGAGCGAATGCTCGCAGCACAGGCCAAAAAGCACAACGTACAAGTGACCCCCCAGCAGCTTCCTGCTCAATTATTCGCACCTACTGGTCCCGCTGCCGGTGTTCCCCCAATTCCGGTCGGATCTGGAGGCCCTCCTCCGCCGTCGGGCCCTGGTGGGTTCCGGCCAGGCCCTCCAACCAGGCAACCTCAAGGTATGGGAATGAGCATGGGTGTGGGTGTATCTCACGATCAAAGCCACATCGGTGGGTTCCAGCGTGGGCCCCCACAGCAGCAAATGGGCCGTGGTGCTGGCGGTCCGCCCCCTCAACATCAGCAACAGATGCAGCCACATCAGCCACAACTTGCACCCCCCCCTCAGGGACTTCCAGCAAGGCCTCCGCCTCCAGTTGGATTTCAACAGCATCAACAGCATCAATATGGAAGACCCCCGCCCCCACCTGTGGGATTCGTCCAGCAGATGCATCCTGGCGGGTTTGCAGGACAGCCTCCTCCATTACCAGCAGGATTTGGAGGGCCACCCCAACTGCAAGGATTTCCAGGACAAGTACCTCCAGGTGCCCCCCAGGGGCACCTGGATTCCCACCACCAGGTCCGCCGCCTAGTTTTGGGGGATATGGTAGAGGACGGTAAATGCTGTATAAATTCAGTAGTATTGTGCTTTTATATTTACATCTATTTGGAGTTTTTCACTTCTCTTGATATTTACCTATGGGCTTTCGTTTTTCGTTTTTCATTTCACTTTTGCCATCACAATGTGTTGAGAATCATGAATCCAGTTATTAGCTAATTCTTCTTCTGCCTGTTTTATTAAATTGTTGGATGTACAATAGAGGATATATTTTTGATAGGGTCTTGAAAAATTTAAAAAGGCAAGGATCAAAGTGAATCATGGGGTGTTCGATATGTACAGCAATAGTACTACACTCTACCTACATAGTATATTGACATGACAGTGAGATTCTACTCTATGTTTCAACAACGGCTACTGCCACCATACATGTATTTATTATTTTCTTTTTGTGCGATTAAAGCTCAACGCCCATTTCGCGAACCAGAAAAGTACTAGGGTATAGCGAAAAGTGACCAGAATCTGATAAGACAAATGCACGTATTCACCGCAATATCCACTCACCAGACTCCGACCACTTACCCTCAACGCCTGGTACTCTTCACCTGCAGTCTCAGTCTGGTCACGTGCTATTCTACTCTACACGTATGCACTACTATGTAGGTACCTCCATCGAGACAGATGAGGCTTGGCATATATTTTGACGATAAACCTCCCAACGCGTCCCGTTCGATCTGACGGGTCATCATTCACCTGGTGAGCTTTAAACCTTAATATCCTCCACCTCCCGGGCTATAACATGGCCGATAAACTCCGCGCTACGCAGCAGCTTGAACAACTCCAAGCCCGCTACATTGGTACAGGACACGCTGATACAACAAAATTGTAAGCCTCCTCTGTGTCCTTGCATCAACCTGGAGCTATCAACTGATAATTGAAAAGCGAATGGGTCTCTAACGTGCACCGAGACACGCTTGCAACCTATGTTGGCCATCCCCCATTATTGGAATATATGTCGGTTGCCACTGGTGAATCTATGGCAAAGATGAGAACTAAGTTTATTGAGGTTTGTTGCGTCCAACTGTCCCTCGGGGAGTAATACTAATGCTGGTTGTTTTAGAGAATGATACGCCCTGTCGGGAAACCACCGGAAAAGGAGGATTAACTGGTCATAGTGATATTGGCTTTAGGGGCTACACCGAGCTCTTGAGGTAATTCTAATAAGCAGGCTCTGTACATGTATAAATTAAAAGATTGATCAAATTACTATATGTATTGCTAGCTCTAATGCCGGTGGGAACCTTCATGACTTTACATATTTACGTATGGTCGCTTTGGACCGAAGGCTAAGGGTTGAGACAAACTTAATAGAGTTGCAAGTTACTGTTGCTATTCTGCCTTGTAACCTGTTATAAAGATGATTCGAGTTAATTGATACCTACAACGCCGGCTATCATTTTAACGCACCCACAGCCACTACTGTTTCGTTTTGTTACCATGCACTCCTAATCGTCTTCGTCATTTTGTGTGGCCCTCTTCCTACCTCCTCCTTTGACCCTTTTCTGCGAAGGTCCCTCATCAGCTGCAATTGCATCCAAATCAGGACCTATGTTTCGTTGTAATTTTTTCTCCAAGTCTTCCGGAGCTTTGACTCCATAAACCTGGAAAATAGAAGTTAGATTATGAGCATGATTAGCCACGAGTGTACACCTACTGTTTTCAACATGTTCAAGACGCCGTCAGAACCAATCTCCATTTTTGCCCTGGGTCCAAGATAGTAATCATGTCCACCATCACCTGTGTCATCCTTTTGTTTGGTAATGTATCCTTGCTTGACCATCAACGCTATTATCTTTTCCGTCTTGTCGATTGGGGTATAATCATCGGCGTTCATTCTCGTAAGATATCTTATTAGCTTATTCTCTGGAAGAACCTTGCCATTAAGGTAGATGAGAGAAACAATCATGGTAACAAGCCCAGTATATGTTTGTTCCCTAAATCCATGAGGCTGGACAATTTCAGACTCTCGGAATGGCTGAGGTAAGACTGTTTGTAACAGGTACTGTTTCGATGATGTAGGTGCCCTATCTGAATTCTGGGCAGCTACGATTCAAATTAACGCGACGTAGATGGGGGAAAGTGACATTGATTGATGATACCTCTACGTTGGCTCAACTTTGTCTTCTCCCGCATCGGTAGCTCAACCAACTGCATTCCAAATACTTCCCGTAGCTCTCTTTGCGCTTGATCGAAAATACTTTTAAACATTCTTCCTTGGGTGCCGAGAACTGCGAACAAATTAACAAACCGTATCCATAGATATCCATGGTCTGGAAGTGATTAGTTATAAACCTTTACTCGATATATCTGTCCGCTTCAGTGGCTGCCTAATGTATTCTGAAGCGAGCGCTAATCTAATAAGCTTTTTGACCAAACGATCCTTATTTGTCCCCCCTAGAATATAATATAATAAGTTTCTGTACCGTTCATAAAATATAAGATAGAAATCCCACCGTGCGAGTCTCCAAGCTCCTCATCACCACTTAGGGCATCATCTTCCTCATCATCCTCTGGGGTTTCGAGTCTTCTATTTGCCCTAGCACCCTGTGTAGAAGATTCTCCATTCCGTCGCTGAGGTTGGAATTGCTTCTGAGTAAGCCTGCGGCGCTGAGGAGGACTAGGGTCAGGATCGTCAGAGTCTTCGGCAGGTTGCTAAGAGAAACCAAATTATTATTTCGTTATAGTGTGAATGGTGTGAAATTATAAAAACTTACGGAACGACGTTTCCTACTTTGAAGAGGCATTGCTGATTATAGCGGTGGGATGGAGATATTGTGATGTCACTCAGTAGGAAACGCGTTCCTTTACCCGCCGCGTGTCTTTCACGCGCAGGATTCTTGGCGGTTGTCAATTTAGGGTGTCACAAAACCTCTACATACTCGCGCGGCCGAGTTTCAACTTAATCACATGACCTATGGGTAACGCAAAAAACTTGTTAAATAGCGTCACGTGAGTAAGTCGAAACTCGGCCGCGCGAGTACATGTACAGCGCCGGACAGTCAAAATCAACCCTCATGTTCTTTTCAAGCCAGAAACTAGTTCTAATCGGGTAATAATAATCATCTAATCATCCCAATAGCGTAAGAATTATCCCAATTAATGTGGCCGCCTTGGCATAAAGCTATTAAAGTTATTATTTCACACCTATGTTTTTTTCGGGCAGATTGCACCAAATGTTTGAGAGGTCATAGTGCAGCCAGTTCTTAATTATTTTCAATCCCCTTTTATGGGGATGTTTACAACCATGATTAGACCCATTTTACAAAAGAACATTATTTTTGGACAAGTGTTGCGTTGTTGAAAGTCGATGGGGCGAAGCGGGGTCAGTGGTTGCTCTGGCCGGCTGGTTTTGGCTGTCCGATACCGTACTCTATATATGCCTTTTTTTTTTTTTTTTTTTTGAATCATATGAATTGTTTCTAGCTACAATAACTGCATGCAGGCATAGCCTATGGCATAAAAACCAATCCCCAATGCCAGTTCTCTTGTTATAGTAGTTGTGGTGTACTACCAACCGCACTCCTCTTACAAGGGTGATGACTAAGAAAACCCCCGCTTGAGAAAAAGGGGAAAAAAATCCAAATAACACAAAAGAAAAACATATTGCCGGGCCAAAAAAAAAGCTTTAATGCGTCCCCAAATCCCCTACTGTAGTGACTATCGTATGTCACCAACCGCACATCCCCTCTAAGGGCAGACGGAGGGAGGGGTGGAAGGTGTACCCCTGAGAAAATTCAGGAGAGACGAGGATGGTGCTGGTGGTCTTTGGGGGGTGACCTTCGAGCTCGATATCCCAGAGGAAAGGTTCCCATGTAGGGAGGAGGAGGAGGAGGTTTTGACTTGCTTTGGCAAATGAAACCAAAGCAAAGTCTGTAGTGAGGAGTGACTTCGCACTTCACGAACTCTTGGCGGAGTTGCGAAGGGGCTTGTGTAACGGCAATATTATATTTCGGCTAAGGTGATAGATTGGGTTGTGAAGAGAAGGAATCGCTTAGTTGGACTATGATTTGTAATGGGTTTTCTGTTATGTTCTTTCGGTTTCCGTTACGCAAGATATTAGTCATCAACGGACTAGGAGTTGGATATATAAGGGGGTGTTGTCTCGTGCCTTTTCATGTTTTCCTTCCTTTCCTCTTCTCTTCACGGAACCTCCTGTATCTACCCTCGCAACACCAAAACTTTCGAACGATAAAACTTTTGGCCTGCACTTTCGATAAAACTTTTACTCGAACACGATCCTGTATGTCAATAGACTCCGTAATCTATTGGTATCTTATCGCACATCTGTTCGTACGCGAAGTCATCCACGCTCTAGTCCCTGAGTTGTGAACTTTCTACCCCTCAAGCCCTCGCCTAAAGTCTCGCGACCGCAGCGAAACCAACCAACAACCTGGCCTCACCACCCAACCCACCAAACACCGCGGGCAGGAAAAGAACTCTATCAGAAGTCTTCCCAAACCCAACTCGAACCGGAACATCAACCATGTCCCAACAAGCCTCTCTGAGCTCCTGGTTTGCAGGAGCCCCCCCCCCAGGAACCCCAGCCCCCCCACGCTTTGCCGACACCCAATCCAGTCAATCCATCCAACAAACACAGTCCACCACGATCGAGCAAACCCAACCCAGCGGCGAACCCTTCTCTATCTTCGCCGAATATACCCAATACAATGAACCATACGCACCAAAGTATGACTACATCCACCCTAGCATCGTCCCCCAAGAAACCCATGCCAGAATGGATCTCAATTACATCTCGTGGGTAATTAGAAATGCCCTCACCGTGGCGCTCGAACCCCTCAACAAGGCAACCGAACAAACCAACAAGAATCTGAAAGCCACCATCGAAGTCCTATCCGTCCAAAATGAATCCCTCAAGCACACCGTCGACACGCTGGCCAAACAAATGTTCGAAATGACAAAGAACCAGGACAAAACATCCGAGAAACTCCACCGCCTACAACACCAACTCACCAATCTCTCCATCAACAGGCACAACAACCAAATGGCCGCCGAAGGAAGAACTGCCACAACCACCGCCGCCGTCACCGGTGCCACCATCCCCGCCCCTCCCCCCGCACCCATCAATAACTCCAACCATGCTCAACATCAACCAAAAGGAAAAGGAAAAGAAACACCAATCCCACAAGCACCAAAATCCTACGCATCCATCGCAGCAGGAAACGCCAACCCCGAATACACCATGGTCACAAACAGGAGGAAGCCCAAACCTAAGGTGGACCCACTATTCAAACCAGAAGTCACCAAAATCAACAGGGAAATAGTCATTGAAACAAATAAAGAATCACCAGTCACCCCCTCCGACATCAGAACAAGAATCAACTCAAAAATCGAAAACCCAGACTGCCAGCTTATCGCCGCCAGGAAAACCTCAAAGAACAACATCGTGCTAGAAACGAAATTTGCTACCCCCGCCTCAAAAGTCTTCGAATACAAACAAGAAATTGAATCAGCCCTAAGAGAACTCAAGGTCCCCTTCGTTGACATAAGGGTCAACTCCAGATGGTCCAAATTTATCGTACACGGAATCCCAACAACAATCGGAGACGGCTATGAAGCAGGACAGGTCATGGCCTCAGAAGTCAGAAGCAACTACGGAACCACCTTCGAAATGGCACAAATCCCCAGATGGCTAAGCAGACCTGAGGCTAGAGCAGGGAAAACGCACTCATCAATGATCATCGCACTCCCAGGACAATATACAAAAGACAATCTCGGACTGAGATATCTTACCCTATTCGACCGGCAATGCAAAATCGACAACTACCTCCCAGCCAACCCAGAAACCCAATGCTCCAAATGCTTAGAATATGGCCACCGACACGAAAGATGCTCCCACCAAACCGGGAGATGCGGACACTGTGCAGAGGACCACCAAACAAAGGAACACCCATGCTCAGAATGCCCAGGAGGTACCAGATGCATCCATACACCCATCCGATGCTACCACTGCAAGGCCCCACACAAAGCAACAGACGCCAACTGCCCAGAACGTACCAAAGCCCGCATCACAAACAAACTTGGACCAGACACAAACCCAAGCCCACTACCAATACCCATCGTCATCCCGGCCCAAGACCCCCCCCAAGAAGATGCAGCCATGGATAACACCCAATGAGTCACATCAAAAGAACAACGGCCATCGCACAGCAACTGAACTGTGCGAAAAACGAGCTTACAACAAAGTCAGTAGTGGAGGAAGCAGAACAGGACCACAACATACTTTTCCTTTTGTTACAAGAACCATGGAACAACAAAGACGGCCACCCACCGGAATCCCCTCTCTTTTACCTATTCACAGCCAGCAACAAGGGCACTAAAGCCGCCACATACATCAGGAAACACGCCAACCTGAAACCAAAACACCACTACACCCACAGTAATTTCATCGTCTCCGTCACGGTGGAAATCCAGAATCAGAAAACACAGATCCTCAACATATACTCACCAGGACGAAGCGGACCCTTCGCAGAAATCTCCAGACAGATAACCACCATCCAAAACTGCCTCGTCATGGGAGACTTCAACAGCCACCACCAACTCTGGTATGGGCACAGATCCCACGACTACACCAACACAATCAGAACGGACAAACCCGGATCCAGGAAAATAAAGAGATGGATCGATCGACAAAGGCTATCCCTACTTAACGAACCAGGCGAATTCACACATTTCCCCAGAAACAACAACAGACCGACCATCATTGACTTGACCTTAGTCAAAGGACCAGTACTGGACCATGACGTCCGGTGGAACATTGACCGACATGGAGCCGGATCCGACCATGGGAAAACCATCCTACAACTACGAATAGAGAAGCCCCCCCACACCCCCAGGAGACTATGGCACCGAACGAATTGGGGAAAACTGGAAGAGAACATCTCAGGCCTCCAGTTCCCCCCCGAAGCATGGGAATGCCAGAACCACACAAAGCAATCGGTCGACTTCATACTCGAACATATAGATAACCTGATAGATCAGGTGACCCCATGGAGCCAAGGACACATCAAATCTAAGAAATGGTGGACCCCAGAGCTGAAAGAAATCAAATCAACCCTCAACACACTAGAAAGGAAAGCCAGAAACACCCAAAAGGACGAAGATAGGGAATCATTCAGGAAAACCAGTAGAAGATGGACGGCAGCAATCCGAAAAGCCAAAGCGGAACAAAGGGAAAAAGAACTCACAGAGGCCAAGGGAAGTGCCATCTGGAAACTAATCAACACGGGGAAAAAAAGGGACATTACAATCCCAACTATACAAGGTGAAGAAACGTTTGCGGGGAAGTGCCAAGCTCTAAGAGCCCAACTCTTCCCCACAAATTGGACGTCCCCCAACAACCCCCCACTCCAAATCAGACCCCCATCCTTTGACCTTAGTGACGATTTCCAGGAAGTAACAACAGAAGAAATCACGTCCGCAATCAAATCATGCCCAGCACATTCGGCCACTGGCCCTGACAACATACCATATCCTTTCATACAGGCAACAATTAAGTCAAACACCCAACTCTTCCAGGACATGTTCTCAGCCATGCTCCGACATGGAGTCCAACCGGACCGATGGAAAGTGGCAAAATGCATACCAAGCCCGAAACCAGGAAAATCCGACTACTCATCGGCCAAAGCCTACCGACCCATCTCCCTACTACAATGCTTTAGCAAAGTACTGGAAAAGATAGTGGCAACAAGATTATGCACTGCCGGAACCATCCTGGAAACCCTTAGTAAAGACCAATTCGGAGGCAGACCAACTATCTCAGCGATCGATGCCTTACTCCGCACGCTCACGCCCATCCAACAAAACCTCCTGATCAAGCGAACTACAGGAACTACCCCAGACAGACCAGCACTCCTCACAAATGACATACAAGGAGCCTTCAACTGTATCGACCACCTCCTACTCGCCGAGATCATGACCCAACAAAGATTTCCAACATACCTGACGACCTGGTGCAAGGAATTCAACACGAATCGAACACTTCAATTCCAATTTAACCACGAACTGGAACCACCACGACCATATTCCTCAGGACTACCCCAAGAATCCCCCCTATCCCCAGTACTATTTATGATATACGCCGGGGTAATAACAGACCCCACCAACTCTCCCAAAGAAATCAACACCACCTATATCGACGACGACGCACTCATCCAACTCGCGAAGTCCCCTCTCTTCATCACCAAAAGACTCAACGAAAGGATGGAAGAAAGAATCAAGAAAGCAGAACCCCTTAACATCAAATATGAAACCAAAAAATCCGACCTCGTCTTCTTCAAACCCACAACATCAAGCACCCCGGACCCTAAGAACTCGGTAAAAATCGCAAAAGAAGAAATCCACCCCAAAGATAGACTCAAATACGTAGGAGTCTGGCTGGACTCAACGCTCTCCTTCCGACCACACATCGAAGAAACCATCGCCAAAGGCCTCATAGCCCTAGGCAGAATCAGGAACATCGCCTACTTCCCAGGATCAACAACAAAATCCATCCACCACCTCATCGTCCAAGGCTTCCTCCCCACCATCCTATGGGGATCGGAGGCATGGTGGACAGGAGCCGACCACATCCTCCGATCATTATCCCCCCTCTACAACGAAGCCGCCAGGATTATAACAGGCCTACCCCGCTGGACCAAAACCGAAAAACTACTGAAAGAGGCAGCACTTCCCCCACTCGAACACCTCCTCAACCACAAATCGCGGAAGTACGGGACGCGCATCCTCTGCCACCCTGCGGACCACCCACTCAACGAAGGACTCATCCAACTCCTCCCCACCAGAATAAAAAACATTAAAGGCACAGGCCTACATCGGATTGCATCACTCATGCTACCCTTTCAGGAACCAGGTAACCACAGAGAAAGATGGATACAAAACGATACCCTCACCAAACGCATGATAGAAGAATGGAACTCCATCCCACTCATCAACTACCACGAACCAGGAACCCTAAAAATCCCACCAAAGCGAGCAAAACTCCTCCGATCCAAAGCAAAACTCATCCACCGCATACGATGTCAAGTCACTAGGATAGACAGATATGCAGCATTTACGGAACCTGAACCCTGCCAATGCGGCTCGGAACAATCCTCCAAACACACCATGATCGACTGCCCACGATGGACACAACTACGAAGGCCACTTATGGACAAAATCCCGGGGCCGCCCACTTGGGAAAACTGGCTATTCACCAACCTCAACGTAGACCTGATTCTACAGTTTGCAACAAAAACCAACCTACTCGACTGGTACGAAATGGACGAGGAGGACCCGGAGGAATGATGATCGGTTTCTTTGGTTTTTTCTCCTTTCTTTTCTGTACCTTCTCCTAAATTTCTTTCATCGTTTCCTTTGTTTCTCTCTTATGTTTGGCGGAGGGTCCGGCGTGCGATAAGTCCTGTACTTCAAAGCAATATAAAATCCAATCCAATCCTGTATCTACCCCAACGAATACTACTTTTGTTCTACGCCTCGTCATAGGGTTCAACTAGTTGTCATACTAGATAGAGCCACTCCATAGCCCATAGTCCTGAATACCTATTGCCACGTCCTCGCCTCGGTTGTATTCCTTGGCACCATAGTCCCTACGTCCATAGACCACCGTTACAGCTTGTCAAGGACAGGAGGGATGACTCTATATGTGCCTATATATGGTATTTATATATAATTCTCAGGAAGGTGTCATGACCTCAAATTTCGACTCCCGCACAGCATATTTGATGGAATACAGAACGAAAAAACTTTATAAGTCTGCTTTAACCAACGGGTTTGGTAATCTAAATCTTTAGACTTCGTTACAACGGGGGGTAACTGTATGCTATTTTTCGATCCTCAAATATTCCATGACGGGAAAATTGAAGGTTAGGGAAGCTGTATCCCATATAGTTAAATACTAACAGTTGACAACAGGGCGGACTTTGGGCCAATAGAAGCTAGGAGAACTGGAGATCACGCAGCTTGAATGTTGCTTGACTGTTTCTTGCCATAATTGGAACCCCTGTAAATTGTCAAGTGGCAGCATTCGTCAAGAGATGGTGAACGACTAGATATCCCTAACTGTACAGGCGAAAATGCTGACCCCCCAAAAAGGCAAATTCGGTGTGGCTTACTAACAAATCCCGTTATCTCTCTTATTAAATAATAGATCTCTTATACAAGTTTAGTTCCTCTGTTATAGGGGGGTCAGCATCGACAGTTTAAGGGATAGTGCAGTATTAAGAACGAACCAGAAGCATTTATCCTTTCAAGGTGAGCAGCGTTAAGAAATTCAAACACCGCGTGATAAGTACATATACATCATGATGTACCCGGGGGTGCCGGAAAGTGATGCAACGCTTGACCTAGCAACGCCGAAAGGTACTCAGAACTTCAACTTTTAACACAACACAATGCTTGGGCAGGATAGATATTTTAGTCATACCCATGATAAATGAGTCTCTAGAACATAGTCTGCAATTTTTCAGGTCATTCAAGTTGGTTTGGGGTTTTTAGCCTGGGGAAGGACAACTTGTGATAAGAGACAGTAATAAAAGGAGAAGCAACAGTCAACCACATCAACTCTCGCCATAACTATGGTCTCCAGCTTCTAAATTACCAAAGATTTGTTCCACATTCTGTTAGCTAGTTTGGTTGTTGAGAAGTATGGGCTATTTGGCCATTGCATCACTTTCCGGCACCCCTGGGTACATACATGTAACATGTAACCCCGTGACTTAGGACTGCAAGGATCCTGGCGCCAAGTCCAGAGGCATCATGCAGGGAAATCAGCCTCACAACCGACGGATCTATGACGGCATAGGTATTGACATGTGAAGATGACTTTCACATGTCAGAAAATCCCCACACACAACACCTGTCAACAGAGATGTCGGGAAATACATGTCTCCCCGCGTTCTCGGCTCCTGAATGTGATTTTCTCCGCGCCTCCACATGCTGATCGTTCATTGTGTCCCGAGAATGCCTTTTGAACAAGCCCGGGACAACACAGTCCTACAGATATACTTGATAGCCCAGATCAGTGATCCAGGTGCGTCTATGGCGCAGGACTGTTCCGGGGTGATTCTACTAGTACTGTAAGGATTGGTCAGGTGGTCTAGTTAAACCTCCTACCCCCCATTAATAGATTCTGTGCTCTCCTTTATTTCTTCACTCTCACATACACGTATAATTTTTATACCTCTTGTTCCTCTTCGTTTTCATTTCCTTTAGATTACAGCCCTTTCCTGACCTTGTAGGATTTTTGTTTCGGTTCGTGGATTTATGTTGCCTAATCACTCTTAATGATTGGTAAGTTATATATCTTTTAATTGCCCACCATGGCATAGTTTTGTTGTTTGAGGATGTTCTCCTATTCGAGAAAAAAATAGGAGGAGGCTCATAACATGGGGATTAACCAGATCACGTTCTTGGCCGCCCCTCGCGGCGATTTCGCAAAGTTCAAGTGATATCAGTCTTGCTCTTTTGGACTGGATACTTACTGCGTGGAAATTCACACGGGCCACCTATACTTTTCATCCGAAGGATCTCTCGTTACTTCAGCAAACGCCTGACTTCATTCCAGCTTGTGACATTGACACTGCTGTATCTGTATGTCTCTCGAAATTTTGCAAAGCTTCTCAATCTCGAATCCCCAGAGCCACTCGCAAATCTATATACAAGATCATATTTTCGCGCAACATGGGTCATGACTGCACTAGATGCTGGCTTTTGGACCGCCATGAGAATAAAAAGCAAGTGGTTGAGAGACTTGTGTAGTATAATCTTTAGCCTGTATTATCTGGTGGCGGCCGAAAGAGCAGATGAGAAAGTAAATTCTATTTCATTATCCTGTGTTTTTAGTAAAGACAACTAATTGAATCAATTTTCTAGGTTCGTCGAGTACGTGCAACAATTACAGTCGAGCATATGCGTATATCTTGGAACAAATCTACAACTCCATATCTCAAAGCGCTTACGAACTTCCTTCATCCAAGGCCCAATAAGTTTGGACCTCGTCACATCCGCATTTCCCGTCCTAAAGAATCAGTATATCGTACACCTGTCGACGCCTGGATATATTTTGAAGGAACCCGAGAGGAACTCCAAGCATGCAAGAAGATAATTCTTGATTTTCCCGGCGGAGGCTTCGTCTCAATGTCACCTCGACATTATGATGACTCTCTTCTCTATTGGGCTAGAAAATGCCCTGGGATTCCTGTTATTGCCGTGGACTATAAACTCGCTCCAGAATTTCCATATCCATACGCCCTCAACGAGTGCTATGATGTTTATCATAGTATCGTCTACACACGGGGTGCGTGCGTTGGATTATCTGGGGAAGTCCTACCAAGAATAGCGTTAAGTGGGGATTCGGCGGGAGGGAATTATGCGGCTGGGGTTACTCTAATGATCCTCAATTCTACAAGTACTAGCTCTACAGGGCATTTGATGGAAGAGGGTTGGCAAGGCCTCCCGTTACCGGATGGTCTAGTTTTAATTTACCCATCCCTGGATCTTAGCATCAGTTCCTGGATGAGTGATGACCAGATGAAACTAGTTCGTCAAAAGGGTATGAGGAGAACAAACAAGAATGTCGTAAAAAGAAAAAGCGAATATTTTGAGAAGGCCAGCGGCATTGAACCAGAGGTAAAGGGGAGGGACGACGATATCGATGAGGATGAGGAAAGCGATACCGAACCACCCATAGGAAATAAGACTGTGATCCCGAGAGTGGACTTGGATAAAAAGTTCGACGATAATAAAGTTCCCACCACTATTACTAGCAGACCGAAGCCACTTTCAACAAGGCTTGCAATGGCATCCCGGCTCTCATACTTCAATGACCGTATTCTCACTCCGGAGATGATGCGCGCCATGGTAATTCTCTACATTGGCCCTCATAACCGTCCTGACTTCACCACCGACTTTCTTCTCTCTCCAATCGTCGCCCCCGAGAGCTTGTTAGCACGATTTCCTAAGACCTTCTTCCTCACAGGAGAACGAGATCCTTTAGTTGACGACACCGTCATTTTTGCTGGCAGAATCAGACAGGCCAAACAAGACGTCTGGCGTCATCGGCGAGACATGGGGCTGGAGCATCGGTACAGCTTGTCAGATGATGGAGTGGAAGTTAGTTTGATTCCCGGAATCAGTCATGGATTCTTACAGATGGGAGCACTGTATCCCGAGGCAGCCCGGGAGATCAGTAAGTGTGCCGCATGGCTGAGAGAAATATTGGAAGATAAGCCTGAGGACGAAGGTGAAAAGTTGGGAAATGGCACCTGGAGAAATCACGAAAGAAGCTTTACAGGAGGAAGTATGACAAGTGGGGATGAGGACAAGCCTTTAGAAATGGCACTTCTTCCCGGAAGAGGCAGAGCCAAGACCAACGGGGTAAGCAGGGGAAGAGGGTATGGTAGAAAAGGTAGTAATGGTAGCCTGGGGAGTGAGATCGACTTGGTGGGTAGGAGAATGCAAGGTCTAGCAGGCCCATTAACCGCGAGAATCGACGATGATGATGATGAAGGGGACGAACTGATGTATTAGTAATACCTGCGTGTAAGCTGTCCGAAGGAGTTTGAGGAGTACTGCATATTGAGAATAAATATACGATTAAAGTACATGTAGACTTTGAGTTTGCTGCTACCCAAGAAAGAACTATACCGCCCTGAGATTATATGATATTATATGCTACTGTTACATGTGGTTACATGTATGCTTGTATGTCGGCACAGTAACCATGTGTTGCTGTGTTGCTGTAGTTACATGTAGTATATACCGGCAACCAGGATTCCGATCAATGAAACCCTAACCCTCAAATCATCTATACTCATCCGCTAATTCAGTAATCTTCAAAAAAAAAAAAAAAAGATTTCATCCCGCGCTCAGCAAGCTCTCACCGACTTCTTCAGCCCCGATATCATGCCATCTTAGCCCCATATAGATTTATAAATATACCTCCCCAAACCCTAAAATGCTCGGAAAACTCAAACTCGCTTTCGAAGATGGTCTCACAGGCAAGTCCAACTCCAAGGCCCTAGTCAACATATTTTCCGTACCCAAACCGAGCAGTGCTCCCACGGCTGCCCCCGAAACAGGGTCTTGTACATCTACACATGAAACCGACATAAACAGCGCTGGATCAAGAAAGAAGCCTAAGAAATCCAAACGAAACGGAACAATAGTGAAGGAGCCAGCATTGTCGCAACCCTCGCCCTTATCCTCTGCTGTGGAGCACCCCGGAAGGAGCAAACGCCAATTAAAGGAAGAGCAGAAGAAGGAAAAATGGCTTGCCAGATGCCTTGCCCGCGAAGCCGAAGCCCGTGCTATAGCAGAAAAGGAGGGTCGCCTTGCGGAGCATGAGGCAGAGGTGCACAAGAAGGAGGAAGAGAAGGCCCGGCAGATTGCGAAAGTCCGCACTGCTGATACAGCGCCTATCACGAATTCTAAGAAGGATAGGAAGAACATTGATCTACAGCTGGAAAATGTAAAGGCTGAAGCAGAAGACCCGGAAGTCACCTTCCTCCAGAATAAAAAAAAAAGGCAACTTGAACGGGAGGCGGCTGGGAGTGGCCATACTCATGAGGCCAAGAAAAGAAGGCGGCCAAACAGCGATGGTCCAACACCATTCCCACTCCTCAGCGGTGTAGCAGCCACTGCGAGTTCATTCTTGCCGCCTAAATTGTCTTCGCCAGCGCTGGCAAATATACCCCATAAAGGACAACTGAAGGGCCAGGCTGCCAATCTACGGAAACAGCGGGAGAATCTACCAATATGGGAGCACCGGAATGATCTGCGAAGCGCTCTTCGTGAGAAGAATGTACTGGTCATGCTGGGAGAGACTGGTAGCGGTAAGAGTACGCAGATCGGGCAGTTCCTGGTAAATGAACCATGGATGCAGAAGCAAAAGATTCGAGATTCCAAAGGGAGAGAGTTATTGGTTGGTGGTTGTATAGCGATTACTCAACCTCGTCGTGTGGCTGCTATTAATCTTGCACGGCGTGTTGCGCAGGAGATGGGGGTTCATCTGGGAGAGGAAGTCGGATATACGGTCAGGTTCGATAATAAATCGAGTAAAGAGAAGACCAAAATTAAATTCTTGACAGATGGTATGCTGCTACAGGAAATGCTACATGATCCGCTGTTGAAACAATATTCGGCAATCATTGTCGACGAAGCACACGAAAGGACAGTGGGGACCGACTTGGTCATGGGCTTCTTAAGAAGTCTTGTCTATGGTGCGCGGGGAGAGAATTCTGGTGCAAATATGAAACTGGTCATCATGAGTGCCACAATTGAAGTTGGGCGAATGGCATGGTTCTTGGAGAAAGACCGAGGCGCAAATGACATATATGTTAATGGAAACAGCTCTACCAGCCAGAACGACTCCCGGGCTATTACGCGCACAGATATAAGTGACGAGGATGAATTTACTGGTTGCCATATCAGCGATGCAGAAGAGGACAACAGCACTGAGGAAGCCAAGGTTACGGAAATCCCTAGCACAGTTGCAAAATTCCAAGTTCCCGGAAGACAGTTTCCCGTAGAGTTATACCACTCACCCGAGCCAGTGGCAGACTATGTCGATGCAGCTCTCCGGACAATCTTCCAAATCCACTATGGGGAGCCAATGCCAGGTGACATCTTGGTATTCTTGACAGGCCAGGAAGAGATTGAAGCCTTACAAAAGCTCGTTGAGGATTATGCAAAATCCATGGACAAAAACGTTCCCAAAATCCACGTTCTCCCTCTCTACGCCGCCCTCCCTCAACTCCAACAACAGAAGGTCTTTCGACCTGCCCCAGAGCGTAACATGCGAAAAGTAATCCTGGCCACCAATATCGCCGAGACCTCTGTGACCGTCTCAGGTGTCCGGCACGTCATTGACTGCGGTAAGGTTAAAACGAAACAATACCGGCCCCGCATTGGACTAGAGTCACTTCTTGTAACACCCGTCTCAAAATCCTCTGCTATGCAGCGCACAGGTCGAGCCGGCCGTGAAGCACCGGGAAAATGCTTCCGCCTCTTCACCGAGGACCAATTCCTCACGCTTGAGGAAGCCACCGTCCCCGAAATCCTGCGCTGCGATATTGCCACTGCAATCTTGACACTAAAAGCTCGTGGACAGGAGGACATACTAGGGTTCGACTATATCGACCCACCAACGCGCGAGTCCCTTATCAAAGGGCTAGAACAATTATTTTCGCTGGGCGCTCTAGACAATAGTGGGAATATCAACGGCCTAGGACGCAAAATGGCGATGCTGCCGTTGCCACCAGCCCTGGCGAGGGTGCTTATTGCTGCTGCGGAAAAGGAGATGGGGTGCTTGCCGGAGGCGATTGATATCATTGCAGCGCTATCGGTGGAGAATTTGTTTGTGACCCCTCAAAGCGAGGACAAGAGGGAGGAGATGGATGAGGCTAGGAAGGAATTTGAGAGGCGGGAGGGTGATCATTTGATGCTATTGCAGGTGGTGAGAGGATGGGAAGCGCAGGAGTTGCATAAGGAGGCGTGGGCGGAGAAACATTTTGTGTCCCACAGAGCGCTGTTAAATTGGGCTGTAAGACGCCCTATCTCCCATATGTTATAATGCCTACTAAGAATTACAAGAACGTCCGAAAACAGCTACGCCAATATTGTCAACGCATTATGTCGTCTATTCAAGAGACTTCCCCTCTCGAAACACTGATCACCCCTGAGCACGGCACTCGCATCTTGAAATGCTTCCTTAAAGGTTTCTTTCACAACACTGCACGTCTCGTGCCCGATGGCTCTTACCGGACAGTCCTGGGCTCTCAGACTGTCGCAATACACCCTAGTAGTGTGCTCTTTGGGAAGAAAGTGGAGGCCATTATGTATCACGAGTTTGTATATACAACAAGGCCCTTTGCAAGGTCAGTATCGGCTATCCAGATGGATTGGCTTGTAGATGCTTCGCCGAACTATCTTGGTGCGGATGCGGACGTTTAGGCTTGTAGTTGCTACATTTAGTTTTATCCTTTGTCAATAGGTTGGTAATAGGGACTCTTGACGAGACAAGCGGGAAATAATTGTAGCCATTTGTTAGTTATATTGTTGACCTTGATTTTTGAGCAAAGGACCATGGTCGTGCTTGAGTTTACAATATCCTCGAGGGTTTAAAATACCCCTGATGGCAGCGCAGCGTACCTATGAGAAATCAAAGGCCATGCCTAGTGCAAGGTCTAAGTAATTTCTCTCACCAATCCTAAAGCAGAGGGAAAGAAAAGAAAAACGGGGTAGGTGGCAACTTACCAGGCAGGAAAGGGTGGACAAGGACCTCGTGTGGGTATAAACAAATGTCCACGTTATATACAACCTGGATATACTATTCGAGCTTCTCCTGGTCTTCTGATATGAACAGGGAGCCGGGCTCGCACTAGTAGTTATGCACTTCCGACATGAACATGGACTGGTTTTAATTAGCTTGCACCCGCCCCCATTCTAAACCTAAGCGCAACCGTGGAGCGTAGTTTAGTACTTTGCTACCGATTTTATATTATTCCAACGAGTGAGAATCTGTGATACTCATCCACACTTGATTGATTGATTGATTACTTAATTAATTACGCATCCACACTTGAGACGGAGTAAATCCCGGTATTGTGCAATTGGGTATCTAATACTTCTCCGAAATTATCGGAAAATTGTAAAGTCTGTCGGCGTTATAGTTGTAGTTGTTATACTCACAACAGATCTCGTCAAGTATGAATGTGATACGCGTAGTGCTATATCCATAGATCAGTACAGCCTAGATCGAGTGTATAATGAATCTATTTGGGAGATGGTACATCCTTCAAAGAAAAATATCCAATAAACAATACCTATCTATAAGCTATTTGTAACCGCTTGATGAATGCAACAACTTGTCACTTCTCTCTTCGACCTAACTTTATTTATTTATTTATTTATTTATTAGTAAGACAATCGCATGCACCTGATCCGTATATGGCGGCTAACAAGAGCGCAACGAAACCTAAACAGCACAGCCCAAATACAAAAACACGAAACAACAATAAAAACAACCGAATTCCTCCACAGAGCCGCATCCTACAGACCCTCCATCCAAAGGTCATCGTTGGGGGGACCTCTTATTTCCAGACTTCGTATCTCAGCTAAACCTTCACTAAACCTCACCGAATAATTTCCGAAATGTTTCCATATGGAGTACACTTAACGCTATATCCCTATCGATATGTAGAGAATATAATGACATACACCAGCATGGGAGCATCAGCAATAGATGAAGTCTCGTCTTGTGATGCCTGGGTGCCCCAGACGCCCCAGACAACTTGAACACAAAGTTATTTCTTACCAGCATACCGACAGCTGAGTGCCCCGCAATCAGAGCCCTATATCTCTTGGTCAACCGACGATGTCGTGAAGGCTAAACACCAAACCTTCTCCCATCCCTCAAAGACATCGTCCCGATGTCTAAAAACGAGCTCGTCTTCTGGACATCCGAGGTAGCTCCTTGTAACGGGGGTGCTAGGATGGGCACGACCGTGACTTCGATCAAATTAGAAATGGTAAACGGGGAACGATGGATTATCATTGGGCTCGTTCGATCCAAAGATGGAGTTTATTTGTTTGATCGTATTTGTAGTCTAAAAACTTAATAACTTTAAGGAGTCTCCTCGCTAGTAAAGATTCCATGACTCCCCGAGTTCAAACTGGGGGCAACCGAGTACTTTTTATCGAAGTTCCGCCCCTTTTTTTCCCCTTTTTCTCTCTAGGCCGTCCCTCCCTCCCTAGCCCGGGGACACCGCGACCTTTTTCTATGAGGGGCGAGAGGAGTTGCTGCCCCACCTCGGACGAACTTCCGCCCGAGTCAAATCACGCAATCTCTGCCAAGAGCTGGTCGGGATACTAAGAACTAGCGGAAACAACCGACCAGATAGCAATTGCTTATTCAATTTGTTTTAGAACAGATTTGGTGTTTTGTAAAGCGAGGTTTGCTTTTAGTAGCTTGGGTCGTACTCCTACTCCCCCTCAAAGGTGCACCGGGCTGAAACAGGAGGGTTCCGGCGGTTCGACACTCCGGGGGTTATTTTTGGGGGTCTAAAACGTGTTTATTTTGCAGTGTTTCCTCAACTCCGCAATGCGTTCATTCAACCACCCCAAATGGACCTGAGCATCGTCAGGATCCTTTCTGACATGGTAAAGCATATTTTCCGAGCATCGGTTGCTAAGTTATTGCGCCTCAAAGGTTGACTTCCAAGGTAGGCTGTAACAGAGCCACAGTAGGGCTGTTACAAAAGTACATGTTCTACCAGTCTGTAACGGCAATATTATATTTCGGCTAAGGTGATAGTTTGGGTTATGAAGAGAAGGAATAGCGCAGTTGAACTATGATTTGTAATAGGTTTTCCGTTATGTTCTTTTGGTTTCCGTTACGTGAGGTATGAGTCATCGACGGACTAGAGGCTGGGTATATAAGGGGGTGTTGTCTCGTGCCTTCTCATGTTTTCCTTCCTTTCCTTTTCTCTTCACGGAACTTCTTGTATCTACTCCACGAATACTACTCTTGTCCCACGCCTCGTCATAGGGTTCCCCCGGTTGGTCATACCAGGTAGAGCCGTCCCGAAGTCCATAGTCCTGAATACCTATTGCTACGTCCTTGCCTCGGTTGTATTCCTTGGCACCATAGTCCTCACCCCCATATACCCCCGTTACACCAAGTTCCGTCCTCTATTGCCAACCAATACAACACCATAGTCTACCATGGCGACACATCTTCCTATTGATTACCAACAGCTAAGCGATGCCCTTTAGATTTTTTTTCAAGAACACCCAGAGGTGGATGGCAATGTTGGAATAGAAGCCTATGCACTTCTTCAACGGGCACAACATGGCCTTACTCAGTATGCAACGGACTTACAGGAGGTGGAGAGGGAGGCTGGAAATGCGAGGGAAATGTTTGAACGAGATCTAGCCGCTGCCAGAGGCCATCGAGTTGCTGTTGAAGTGGTTGCCCCTGATGAAGAACCAATTGGAGAAGATAATGCCCCACCGGTACCTCCAGTCCCACCTGTCCCAGTGGTTACCCAACGGTCGGAAAAACTCCCAGACCCTGAAGTTGTAACAGGGCCACAGGAGGGCTGTTACAAAAATACCTGTTCTACCAGTCAAGCCATACGGCCCTAGGTTAACCGCAGCTGGTTCTTCATCGATGGGTGAAGAGAAGGGCAGATGCGCCCCTACCTCTATTGGTATAGAGGGTAGAGATCCTGGCGAGCAAGAAGTCTTACAAGTCAAGCTAGACGACTGGACCAAAACTAGAGCAGCAGGACGAGCAGACCAAATAAGGAAGGGTAATCCCAAACATAAGTTACCCTACCTTGGCATTCAACCTTTGAGGCGCAATTACTTTGCAGCCGATGCCCGGAAAATATGCTTTACCACGTCAGAAAGGATCCTGGCGATGCTCCGGTCCATTTGGGGTGGTTGAATGAACGCATTGCGGAGTTGAGGAAACACTGCAAAATAAACACGTTTTAGACCCCCAAAAATAACCCCCGGAGCGTCGAACCGCCGGAACCCTCCTGTTTCAGCCCGGTGCATCTTTGGGGGGAGTAAGAGTGCGACCCAAACTACCAAAGCAAACCTTTGCTTTAAAAACACCCAAATCTATTCTAAATACTCTGAATAAGCAATTGCTGTCTGGTCGGCTGTTTCCTCTAGTTCCTAGGATCCCGACCCTTTCTTGGCAAGGATTGCGAGATTTGACTCGGACGAAAATTCGTCCGCGGTGTGGTAGCAACTCTTCTCCTCCCCCCTGATAGAAAATAGGTGGTGCCCCCAGATTATTTGAAAGGCGGACGGCCAGTGAAAAAAGGAAAGAGGTAATGAAGGAAGGGGCGCCGAACTTCCATAAAGGAACTCGGTTGCCCCAGCTTGGTTTCGGGGGGATCAGCGAGTCTTTACCAGCGAGGAGCCCCCTTAAAGTTATTAAGTTTCTAGACTACAAATAACGATCAAACAAATGAAACTCTATCTTTCCATCGAACGAGCCGAAAGGATAGCTTGTCGAATTCCTTTCTGCCTATCTACCTGATCGAAGTCACGGTCGCGCCCTTTCAAGGCACCCCCGTTACAGTATAACTTTAAGCTCCTCGCTTAAAGAACCCCACGAGAAAGAAAAAAACCTACCTGAACACCTAGGACCACTTTCAAGGCTGAAATAACCGAGCAGTTAGCTTTTTTTTTTTCAGCTCAGGCTGGCATGGGAGAGGCTAACACTTTACTATGGTCTCCACTGTATCCGTCAGAGGGTTATAGCGCCCACATTCGCTCAAAGGGTTATAGCGCCCACATTCGCTCAAAGGGTTATAGCGCCCAGCTTCGCTCGGAAAGGAGACCACATTCAGGATCGCTCCTAGAAAATCCTGATAGTCCCATTGACCAACGGCCCCCATTCCCCATCTGGGCCCCAGTCCCAACCAAAGTCAACGTTACTTCGTCCACGATGACGGCAGGAAGAGTCCGGAAGAGGGGGATAACTGGCTTTCTTCTGGCGCCACCATGCCTCGTAATATGCTTGGAGAGCCAGTCTTTGTCTCTCCCTTGCCTCTTCTTGGACCACTCGCTGCCGCATCCACTCAGCTCCCCTTCCATCTCGCGCAATCTCATCCCGCATCCACCGCACCTGTTCCCGTTTCTCCATCAGTGCCGCACGGACACGAGCCTGACCAACACTTCTGTCCCCTGGTTGGGAGAAGGGATAAGGACGACGGTAATCCTCCCGAGTCAGAAATGGGACCTGGTTGAAATGGCCATCGAAGGTCGAGGTCTCCAAACTCCGAGGAACAGCATGCCTGTGGAAGCATTAGCGGTAGTAAGAAGAGGTTACACAACTCGCTGGATCATGCCTACCTCATAGCACTCCGTGATCGGACGGCTTTACGAGCAACTCTCCGAGCGTGGATGGTGTTACCACCATCCAGCTCCAG